TAAAGGGTAAAAAAAAATTTAAATAATTAAAAAATGTAGCATTCAAATCCAAATATGTCTTATTACCAACTGGGCCCTTGTTCACCTGAGCACACTACCTTCCATGAATGAGTACTCATGCAATGTCTCAAACATCAAATTTAGAATGACTTAACAGAAACATGGAATGAGATTACAGGGACCCCAGAGGTGCTGTCCGTTTTGCTCATGCAATGTTACAGTGCCACTTTGTGGAGTACTGTGAAATTTAAGGAAACTTTCATTCGCCAGCCAGTTTTAGGAAAAACTATGTAATTTATGTACAGGCATGTATAACATGTGTACACCTCAAGATGTGAGCATTTATACATAAGCAAACAACATATATTCTCAAGTCCCTTTAATCATGTCACCTAATATATGTACCTAGTTATGTTACCTTGTGAAAATCCCTAAGATTAGCTTGTAATTTTCATTTCACATTTCATTTTAGGTTTATATAAGTCTCAAGGAAATAAAGCAAAAAGTCATGGTGGAACACGTAATCCAGCCACTAGTAAAGCAATATAATAAGTAAAACATATTTGCATTGCCTTGAAAAGAAAATAAAACAGTTTAGTTCTTTGATACCACAATAATTTCAGAGCAATTAACAAAAAAACAAAGTACTTAAGAATCAGATAGCTACATTTTAGCAGGCAAAATCCCATTACTAATACAACATTCACGTTAACCTTGTAGTTTTAAAATTTCAACTGCAATGTTGCCAAATTCTCAGTATCAATCCTATTCTACCTGTGTTGAGTGTAAGTGGAAGTGAACCCTTCCACAGCAGAAGACACTTTATTAGGATCTAGGAGAACAGAAAGGACATCTCTTTAGTAGATGTGTAGGTACAATGTAAGTATCACTTGGGAGAAACAATAAAAAGATGGCAAAATGCCCTCTGGCATGTTTCTTAGCAACATGAAAAACAACTCTCTGCTAATAAACTCTGTCAAGCAAAAACTGTTTACAGAGCATAGTTCAGTAACTGAATTCCAAATAAAGCTAAGGATATTTACATTCCTAATAATATGAAACTGTGTAGCTTTTTTTCATATTTAATACCCAGATCTTATACAAGAATGATTTCTTAAGATAATCTGCTTCAAGCATAGAAAGTATATATATAAATGAACAAGGGCACCGTTTTCACATGATCCCTAATTCCCAGGGAGTAGGTATTTAATTTTTCTTTAAAGCATACATCTTGTCTACAGTGTATGGGCAAATTGATAAATGCTGACGTCAGAACGTATTATTCATTGTCAGTATCTGAATGGCAGGTCACCAAGAGAAGAAATTTGGGACTCTCAGAAGAAATTCTTCTCTACAAACAGTGCTATCTTCATTTCACCATTTGTTCTGAAAAATCTGTTCCCACATTCCTTTTCAGCAGAAGGGTGCCACCCACTGCCTCTTGCTGTAACAACATTTCTTTTCCACCTTCTCTACAAAGGAGCATCTATGGCCATGTTCATGGACATTTTAATTCATTTGGAAAATGGTGAAATGAACACCCTATTTCTTGAATTGTATTATTATTAAAATGATATTAGATAGATCTTTTGAAGTGGCAGTTTGTGATTCTCTACTGATTTCCTTTCATAAGTCACACAATTTGCAAATAAGTTACTTACTGTTAACAATGCTATACAGGTGAAAAGCTGCTATGTTTGTTTTTTTTTTAAAGATTTTATTTATTTATTTGACAGAGAGAGACACAGAGACAGAGGGAACACAAGCAGGGGGAGTGGGAGAGGGAGAAGCAGGCTTCCCGCGGACCAGGGAGCCCCATGTGGGGCTTGATCCCAGGACCCTGGGATCATGACCTGAGCCGAAGGCAGATGGTTAATGACTGAGCCACCCAGGCACCCCACTGTGCTTTCAACAGTATGTTTTTAAACAGGAAAATGAAATTGTTTTAATTGTGAATAAATCTTTATTGTCTATTACAAATTCTAGAGATTCTTCAAGTGGTTCATATAACTCATCACCCAAGACTTGTTAAAGAAAGTAGAAAGTGTATTTCCACTTGGAAGCATTCAGGGAACACATTGCAGATAATTTGGTTAATCCCTCAAGTAAAATATCTTAATTTGTTAAATTTAAATGTTACACTTTCTAATAACTAAAAAAGGAGTAGCAATTAATTACTCAAGTTCCTACTTTCTGAATTCTGTCATTATAATACTGTGACCTTTGAAAACTCTTACTTAGTTTTCACCTTACTTGATCATATCAAGGATATATATGCAGACCAGTTTGTGACAGAGATCAGCTTGTCAGCAGAAGAAATTTTCTATTTTTATTTTTTTATTTTTTCTTTTTTTAAAGATTTTATTTATTTGATAGAGAGACAGCGAGAGAGGGGAACACAAGCAGGGGGAGTGGGAGAGGGAGAAGCAGGCCTCCCGCTGAGCGGGGAGTCCGACGCGGGGCTCGAGGCAGGGCTCGATCCCAGGACCCTGAGATCATGACGCGAGCCAAAGGCAGGCGCCCAACCAACTGAGCCACCCAGGCGCCCCAAAATTTTCTATTTTTATATAGATTGTGCTACCACTACAAATATCCATGTCAAAAAGATTAAATAAAACATTCTTATCCAAGAAGATATTCCCCTCTAATAGCCTAAAGAATAAATTATAAATTGTTTCGTATGTAATGTTTATCATTGTTTTGTTTGTTCTTACAATTTAAGATAACATTTTATTTTTTAAAAGATTTTATTTATTTATTTATTTTAGAGAGAGGGAGAGAGAGTGTGTGCACAAGTGGCAGAAGAGACAAAGGGAGAGGAGGAGAGAGAATCTCAAGCAGACTCCACCTTGAGTATTGTACCTGATGTGACGCTCGATCCCATGACCCTAAGATCATGACCTGAGCTGAAATCAAGAGCCAGATGCTTAACAACCTGAGCCACACAGGTGTCCCAAGATAATATTTTAGAAATATAAAATAGCATGACCAAATGATCAATTTAGAAATATTGATATTGGATGTATTGATAAAGTTGTAACTCCACATTAATAGAAAATGCCATGTAACAATCATATGATGCAATATATGCTTCAGTTCTTATTGGCAGTTTTCAGACATTTAATGCCTATATGGGACATATTATAAATATTTGTGACTGTGAGATCACACAGTTTAAATGCTTTTGAATTTTTAGTTATTTGGGAATTAAAAGTAAGGAAAACCCTGTATTTTGCTGTAGATGTGGACCTAAGGAAATCTGCTTTTCTGAATCAAAAACCTCATAATGTATGTCATCTGTCTCCACCTTGTGGTTATTGTAAATATTACTACTTCCTAATTTTGCTCATAAGAGAGGTTGAATGGCTACGGAAAAATAGAAATGCTTGTCTACCTTTAGATCCTTACTTTTAGACGCCAGAGATACAGAAAACCATGTCACATGACAGAAAATTTCAGATATATTATGATATCAAAATGTTAGATCATCTGAAGCATTTCTAAGTCTCTGTGCCAATGTTATTAGTAATTTCTTGCAAAAATATTACATAATTGTAGAATCATGTAGTTAAACTGGATACGTCCATTCAACACATCTGTATGTCTAAACACACTCTCCCTTAAACTTTCACAGCACATACAGACTCCCTATGACACTTTTTAGGAAAGTCACAAAACAACAAAGAAAGTTTTTCTGAGTAATTGTTTTCTCCCTTTCCCTCAGGAAAAGTGTAAGTGTCCAGTAAAATTTCTTAGGTTCCTAAATCAGAGGTTTTATATTTTAAAGACAAACCCCTAACTTCCAGTTATACATTATTTTCTTCTTTTTCCATTCCACTCAAGAACAGGGAATATTATAGGGATCAAGACACACTGCCTTGCTTTCAGGGATTTATGTTCTGTCCAATTTTGTTTTAATGCATGAGAAATTTTCACAAAAGTGCCAATTCATAAATTATCTGTCATTTCGTGTCTAAATTAGAGAAAGTTGTCAGATCATATCATCTGTATGAAACAATCTGAAATGATCTGATTTAAGCAAAAAAATTCCTACCTGGTTGAATTTGCCAGCTTTTCTACTAACTAAGCATGTTTGTTACTTTTGAACTTCATGTTTTGTTGCATGGAAAGTTAAATACTGTAAAGAGAAGTTAAAGTTCTATGGATTTGAAGGAACTAGCTCAAAAGCCAGCCACAGGCCTTAGTCCCTCACACAGTCACTCTGCCTACAACAGTATAGGTTCTTGATTTTCTCCTGGTTTAGATGTAAAATGCACCCTCTCTCACATGAACCCATGCTCCACAGTGCAATATATCAAGCGAGCCGTTCGTTAAAAGCACACTGTGCACAACACAAAGAATTGTGTGTCATCTAGTTGATATATAATTTGCCTTTCACACAGATTCCACTAAGTGTCCTTTCTTCCCAATGATTTTGTGATCTGATATTTCTATCCCATACTCTTCCAAGAAAATAAAGCAAACATGGATAACTTGTCTCTTTAGGGAAAACTAAGGTCGCATTATTTCTGTGTCCTGCTGCTCTCAAAGATTAAATATTCACCCTAATTATGTCTCAATGTTTGATGCCCAAAGCACTTATGGCATTTATGTCAACTGAAGCTAAATATTCAAATAAACCTAATATAGATTTATGATTTTAAAATAATTGTTCATAAAACATGAGCAGACAAAAGAAAATGCTATTTATATGCAACCAGGAGGAAATGTTTTGAGGAAACAGATTTTATACTTGGGTATATAATTAGCCACTTTAAAATAAATGAGTTTACTTCCTTAAAATGTTCTTCAGATAAAAAAAAGCCCTAAAGAAAGCTGGAATTCAGGAGGAGGAAGTTAGAAAACATGGAAACCACACTGATAACGACTCCATTCCAAAAGGCATTAACACTGCTAAAATATTGGACTTAGCATGTAATTTATAAGACCAATCAATCCGTTAGACTTGTGCCACAATGATGTAACAGGCAAACACTTACCTTTTTCATTGCCATTTGCATAATTTGGAGGCTTGTTTTTGTCGATGCTGTTAAAGCTCTGACTTCTCCTATTTAAATTAGAGGCTCCCTGGACCTTGCTGCAGCTGCCGGCAGCTGGTACCCTAGAGGGACCTGGAAGCCTGAAATAGTATAAGAAAAATTACATCAGTATTGTATATTACAAAAAGATAGGGGGTAGGAGGTTCTGACTGGGGAGGCCTTAATGGAAAAAGCACAATATATGATGTTCTAAAATCTATTTAGCAGAAAATGGTGGTTTCAGTGATAAATAGCTAAACACAAGGATTAAGACTCTTTAGAAAAATCTTGTTTCACTTTTCAATAAACATGCCCTCAAATGGTATCAGTAATGTAGAGCAATTAGAAATAAAGTAACCTTTCACTTAAAAAGTCATACTTACCACACCCCTGACGAATAGCACTTTGACTTAAAAATATTATACCAATTACATGAAAAGCAAGGGAAATAACACAAATGTAATATGTTCTCGGCGTATTAATCACCTATTTGCAGTTGTTGTTAAGTTGTTCTTTTCAATGTATGGGACATTTATTTTTCTTTTAGATAGTTGTTTCCTAAGTCAACTTGATAATAACAAGAAGAATAAAGTTACTGAACAAATTGCTAATAGCAAATGCTTAGTGCATAACTAAGGCAGTAAGCTACTCTCATTCAAACATGGTGCAGAGACCAAGGTCATGAGTTAATTTATATTTTACTGGTCTGCCTCAAAAAATTTCTTTTCTTTAATCGTTTTGCCAAAAGTAAGCACCTAGACTTTTAGCTGGTTGTCTTGCAAGTGTGGCCAGCTGACCACAGGGGTGCCATGACAAGAAAGGGTGCAGGTCTCAGAAGCAGAAAATCTCTGTTAGCAGAATGTCAATTAAAATACACCCACAGGGACAGTGACTTCAGCTAGTCTTTGGGGATGAAAGACAAGATAAGAGGAAATAATAGGCAGACTGTGTTAAAATTAGGGGAAGTTTGACATTAGGTTGTGATTTGCAGTTATTTCATGTGGACTAAAATTAAATACCCGTGTGGATCATTTATGTCACTGTTTAAGTAGTTTCTACCTTAAAATTTCAAGTATCAATTATTTCATGAATGGCGCCTACAATATACAATCGCTATATTTTGTTCTACACTATTAACATATTGTATATGTACAATACACAATCTGCATAGAACTAATATTGGCATTCTAAGTCATATTTAACAACATGATATTAAAGGATGTCAGCGTCTTGGCTACTATTTGCTGCCACCATGTGCATGTCACTGTGTACTGCTCTGATAATTTCTATTTTAAAAGAAAAAAAAACCTCCAGCCCTTATAAATGAAGCATGGAAATGTTTACTGTTCTCTATACTGAATTTTTAAAATGAAAGAGTGTTTATATCTGTTATATTGGTACCCAATATATCACAATTTCAAGATCAGTTGTTACTATTTTCGTATTTTGACTCACCTTCATAATTGATATATTATTTCTGTAGATTATTAGGAAATCAAACTCTTAAATACTATAGCTACTTTTTAAAATAGTAACAGGTATTGCAACAGGGAATGAACATCAGGAAAACACAAATACTGGCTTAAAAACACAAGTGCTAAGCTTTCTTGGAATAGTTAATAGTTTCAAAATGTTGACTATATTCTGGAGTTTGAATACATATGGCTAATAAACAGTTCCTTCAGCTATTTTGCTAATTAGAAGCTGTGCCATGTACAAGGTTGGAACCTTTTCCAAATGATCCCAGCATTTAACTTTTGCTTAAATAGATCTAGAGGGTATGTAAGTACAGCACAAAACCAAAGACACCAGGAATTTTGAGTACCAATGACTGCACTCTAAAGAAAGAACTCAATTAATTAATTTGGACAAATGCCCGAGTCATAATAAATCTAAGAACTATTCCTGAGGACACAACTACAGACTCAGAAAGTCCATCCCAAACTCACATGTACAAACAAATTTGTCACCAAAATTGCCCTGCTTGCAATAAAACCTGACCTGTTTCTAGAAAGCAATTAAATTGCATTTATTCTTTACTGTGACCCATGAAGCCAAGTGATCTTTAGTTCTCAGAAGAACAAATTAAAACAAATTAAAAAATCCATTTGGTCTTCTCATTACCCTAATTTGACAGACAGCCAGAGCTCCAGATCATTCATCAAAGTAATAAAAAGAGAAATGAGAATGAAGCCAACAAAAGTCAGAGAGAGAAATGTTCCATTAAATTAATGTGCTTAAAATATATTTTATATGCATGAGTCTTAGAAGTGGTAATAAAAACTGTACATGGCAGGTCACTGTATTTTGCACATTTGAATTTATATCATTTTTCCTACTTTTAATTAAATACCCTTTAAATTTTTCCCTCCCAAATCATTTTAATTACTATGGAAATGAACATAACTTAGAATACCAAGGCAAGAGGAAAAGCACATACCTCACATCAAGGCATCATAAGCCATTCTTCTGGTCAAACATTGCATAATACGATACGTTATCTGAGCAGTGATTAGGAAGCCACCACAGAGATACTTCCCCAGTGAGAGAGAGGGCAGATATAATTACATAATAATCAGGGGTTCCAAACACATTTGCTGTGGCTTCATTCAGCTGTACCATCATGCCTTCGGCAACTTAACATTTTTTAAAAAAAACATCAAACACTTTCAATATACATTTATCAATCAGTATTTTCCAAACAGGATATAACACAGTCATTTGCTATAACAGACTGTCTTTAAAATATGTATGTCAGAAAGAAGCAAAAATTTCAACTATTATAGATAAAGGAACAGTCCAGGTTAACTTGGTGACTTGGTGCTAACCTCCCCACAAAAAGCTGCCACTATTTCTCAATTCTGCTTCAAAATGTGCAATAATTAATGCATGCCCATCTCGAAAAACAATTACATTCTTGTCTTGTAACTCTCAGATTCTGTAACCTGGAAGGAATGGGGCCTTCCAAGTAATGTTTTCCTGGACTTTCTCTAAGCTTAGAAGCTAGACTTCAGCCCAGTCATAACAGTATATATAACAAAACTAAAACAGAAGAAGCCAAAACCCATTTAATGATCTAACACAGACATGCTCATCCCCAAGAATGCATATGGAAATCCACTTGGAAGAATTCAGTCTTCGAAACTTTCATCCAGAAGTATGTAATTTATGAAAAAAATTTAGAATGATAGGACAAAATATCACTGGGCAGTTACTTTATTATCACTAACAAGCAATAAATTAGAGATATTAACTGACCTAGTAGGCTTTTTTTGACTGGTTGCAATTCCACTGTGATTAGACTGAGTTGCATATCTGGCTGCCAGACTGTATGAGGAGAAACAGAGAAATTGAATTAAAGAGATTCTTTGAACATGGAAAGAAAGCACAACATTACAAGAAAACTATGAGTTAATGAAATGCAATTGGAACATGTATAAGCATGTATAAAGAATAAATTAATTAGAAAATTATGATAATGCAACATATATACCATGACCTTTGATTAATGAACACACTACAAAACGATGCAGTGCACCCCTTGGAATAAAGTATGCCATCACTTTAAAATTACGGCTGCATGATATTGTTCATATTATTTTAAGGAGGATTTCAGCTCATAAAGAAATTTGACCTTTGTAAATGACTAGGAAAACTTCAGGAAAGCTAAAGTTTAACTTTACATAATACAAAGAGCTCTTTCCCAAAAAGTTTAAAATGAACAGAAAGAGTATGAGAGTCATTATTTTCTTTGGTAAATGCTTCTAATTTGCTGCTTTAACTGGAATATTATTTCCAAAACCAAATGACTGAAATATCTGGTTTCTGATGAATGTATTGCTTGATCTCGAGTCCTAGATAGAATGTTTTAAGGAAGCAAACAATACAAGATGTTTTTCTAAAGAAAGATCTATATAAGTTAAATGGAATAAACTGGAGTTAAGTTCTCCAAAAACAAACTGCACAACTACTAATGACAGCTTCTGGGCATTCTTCAGTTATAATTCTTAACAAATTTTAAATCAAAATCTTTGATCAAAGACACAAAAGAAAGCATTATTTAAACTGAGTTCTAAAGAGCAGCGAATATTTTACAAACAAAAATGAAATTTTGCACTTAAAGTTAAACTAACTCCTGAATTACCTGAGTGTTCTGAAATTAGTGTTTTGAAGGATATGGTGAGACCCAATTAGACCTGAAACATGTTCACATATCCTGTGATGGTCATGGATTGATGCCCGAGTGGAGAACCACTTTTCAGGTGAATTGTGAGGGAGCACAAAGGCCCTTAAAAACCGCCCGGATAGAAAAGAATAAACCCTCATAACTAAGGAGCTTTTCAGAGCACTTATTTTTCACATTTGATATGTGATATATTATTCATTTGCCTATAATAAATTCTGTATCCTAACTACACTGGGGCAAGTGGCCCAACTACTTCAGTAACAATGATATCAGAGAGTAATATAAAAATAAAAACCAAAGTGTCTGGCTGAAATGAGATATTAATTTAAAATTTAAATTTAAAATATAAGCACCCAAAGTGAAGAAACTTTTTTTTGTGAACTTCTCAGTCTAGCTGTCAATTCAAAAGAAAAAAACCTACCTCAAGGTTCACTACTATGTCTGATCCCATACTCTCCAAATTGAACACAAATATTAGCTGGAGAGATGACAATGAAACAATGTACTTTCCTTCAGGGTACTGAAGCCATCTGATAGGGTTTTCTTCCATGATTTTAAAGAAGTACAATAATTTCTAGGATTGAAGTGAGGTGGGGGAAAGAAATCTAGAAAGGTCAACTGACTTGCTAAAATCGGTTTGGTTTTATGGCCCATGTGTGGTTTCTAGTTTATTATGAAAGAACAATACTCTACATGTTGCCTAGATTTTTGTACCAAGCCCTCACATTTTAATCCTTTGAAACTTGGCTTCTGTTCTGCATTGCTTGCACTAGTGAAACTGTTGTGTGAAGAACACAAGACTTTTATTTAATTCTCACCATACTCTAACATCTTTGTATCTGACCCATATTGCTCCCTCTGCCTTTGTGAATCTCTCTCTTTCACAGACGGTAATACCAGTGAGCTCACTTGATTTGCCCACCATCATTCTTGTCCATTTTCTCTTTCCTTCACTGAGTCCTTTCCCTCTATCAAGCTCTTAAAGGCATGATTTTTCATAGGTCCTCTTTCCTCAAACACTTGTATGCATTCTTTCACTTAGCAATTCATTTCTTTTCTTTTCTTTTGTTATGTTAATCACCATACATCATTAGTTTTTGATGTAGTGTTCCATGATTCATTGTTTGCGTATCATTCATTTCTTCCCTAAGACTTTAAGTAAAATCTACTATAAACTAGAATTAATGTGTGCACCACACTCCCAACCATCAATATCAACTGAGGAAAAGATGTCCCATTTCCATGATCTTCAAAATCATCACATTAAACACCATTTTCCCTCTTTTATCCCCAAGTCTTAATCAGATCCTTCCTCTAATTTCTTAATTTCTATTCACAGGATCATCATTTTCTTTAGTCCAATGGGCTTGAAACCTCGGTAGTTGACTCTTCTCTTTTTTCTTTTAATTATTGCAGATATGCAATCAATAGACTGTCACTCTGATTTAACCTCTACAAATCCATTTGCATTGTGTTCTCTTCCAATTTCCTTGTTTATTGCACTAACTCAAGCCCCCAGCGTGTCCCACAATGCCTCTGGCCCCTTTCATTTTTCTTAATCTTCTACTTCGCTCTGCCTCCACACTCAGTAGAAAACCACTATTTTTCCCCACGGTGCTTTTAATACCATATCCCACGTTTCAGATTTAGTAAGTTTAGTTTCAGTATAGTAACAGAGTAGGTGAGGCTGTATAGCTAATACAATTTATTGGTAAAACAGACACAAGGGACATGTAGACACAGCTCTGAGGCAAGACGGGGAAGATAAACAGAGTCAGAACACCAATAAACTAGGAATTTTCAAAATATCTCGATTGAGGATTGTGTTTTTTTTTTCTGGAAAATTGTCAAATGAGACTCCTTCTAGCTAATGGGTGGTAAAAATATCAGAAACAAAGCACAAAAGAAATAAATATTTTGAGACTCATTGTGGATTCTACCAAAAAGAAGTATCTGCTCATCTATCTGATAAAGTAAATACTAAGGGAATGCTTTTTAGTTCCCTAACATGGAAGACAAGAGGAGGAGACTAGGGACAGTCAAATGAATTTTTTAAAAATGAAACTCATCTGGTGTTCAGAACACAGAAATATCCAAATTACCATACCTTTCTAATCTACCTTCAGTGCAAATATGTGGAACTATAATATCCATTTATTATCAGGGAAGAAAGCTTCTCAAAGTAAACAGATCCTGAATTTTAACTTATCCATTTTTACCAATTGCCAGAAACTTGCCATTCAAAGTGTTGTTCAAAGACCAACAAAACTGGCATCACTTGGAACTTTTTAGAAATACTGAATCTTGGGTCTCATCCCAGAGAATCTGCATTTTAACAGGATTCTGATGCATAATAAAATTGAAAAAGCTGTGCTCTACAGAATACCCACAAATGTCCAACCTTGGAGGAAAAAACCTTGTAGTTTCTAAAGTCAAACAGCATAATCTAAACATCTCGAGTCAGGCCTCATCATCTATCCTGCAGCAGCTTTTGATACTTTTGATATCTACCTTCCAGAAATCATCACTTCACTTAGCTTTCCTAATGCAACAGCTACCTCTGCAGCTACTCCTACTTCCCAAGTAACAGTTGACTCACTCTCTCTGCCCCCTCAATTGTTGTACGGTTACCATGAATATTTTCAAAAATTGTAATCCTAGGCAACAGCTAATATACTCCTCTATTCTTCCTATCTCAGATCTACATTTTATACTCAATCTCAATCTTAAACTCAGTCTCTTTCCTAATAGCAGCTTGAGATCCCCTAAAAATTATACCCGGATCTATCAACAAGATCTCTCCCAGATATTCCAAAAAATGTTCAAAACAACTCATTCTCCTTCTTTCAAACCATCCTCTCTCTCTCTCTCTGACTTTGCTACGTAACTTGAGTGTCACTGTTTTCTCCACTGAACAATATGGAGTTGTCTTGATCATTACCTTTTGCTTTTTTTCCTACATGTCATCTCTCTCACAGACTCTAGTAATACTTCTTTACTAGTTTCTTTGTTATCAGTCCATTTTTATTCCCAGACAAATCAAATTATTCCTCTCATAGTCAAAAGAAGGAACTTTCCCAAAGAAGAATGAATGCCAACCACTTCCTTTGAAATTGCTGTTGACCTCCCCGGCTGTCCACAGGATAAAATCCAAGGCCTGTGATTTGGTTTACAGTACTTCAGTATGTCTCCTCAGACTCTTACAGCCTCATGCTCTCTGCATACCGCCACCCTGTGTTCACTGTCACCACACCTCTGCTCCTTGCATACAGCCTTTTGGCTCTTCCCATAAGGCTTCCTTCATCTGCAATACTAGTCCTTCTCTTCCCTACATTATAAAATCTTACTGCTAGTTCAAAATCCTGCTCAAATCTCACCTTCTTGTTGAAGCATTTCTCAAATTTCCCAGAGTTAATTTTGTCTTCCCCAGTCCACAGATCTTAATTCTTCTCTAATTATTAGGTTAATATGGGAATTTATCATGGTAAATGTCTATGTCCTGAGCAGACTGTTTTGTTTACTAGGACAGGAATTATGTATGTCCACTTTGCATTCTCAGTTCCTTTTACGGGGTTAGTATGGTTCAATAACTAAATAATTGATTGATATTTACTAAGTAGTATTATCAAACAAAGACATATTTCCATCTTTTAAGCAAGTGGGATAGTTTTAAGAAAGTACTTATCAGAAATATATTAAAGGAAGGAACAAAAAGACATTCATCTTCATTGTGTCCTTATTAAGTGACCTGCAGTTTACACTTATTTTCTCATGTATTCCTTATAATAGTCCTGCAAAGGCTACACTCTATTCCTGACTAGAAATATGAAACAAAGATTTTAAACATTAATTTATCTGTATACATTATACATATTAAAAATAACAGTAATAAAATTTGACATTTGGTCTGTTAGATTCTATATAGTTTGTGCTATGTTCTACTATCTTATATTATTTTCTTGCAAACTGATTACTAATTGCAATATTTTAATGTTTCTTTTTCTATTAATTCATTGCCCTGTGGATTTAATATCTCCAAGACGATGACATCATCATCATCATCATCATCATAATTTCAATACTGTTACAAAATAGCAACTTCCAGTACCAAACAAGTCTACTTCAAAAGATACTCTTTAGC